CTTACTTATTTGCAACATCGCACAGAAAAATTCCTTAAAAATGCATGAAGGACAGCGAAAAGACAAACAGCAATAGCCAGTTTGCAAAAGCACTTTAGGGCGAACTCAAATCTTGACTGCTCTTTTTACGACTAAGCACTAAACCATCTAACAGGAATATTAGCAGTTTTCGCATCCTCAAAAAGCTATGAAAAAGAAAAGGTTTTCCTAGCACCGCTTTTTAGTGAAGGCCCTTCAGTGGCAGGAAAATAAAAAGTCCATAGCACTATATCGTACGCAATTGAGAGGATAAGAGCAAAACGATATTTTTTGTCAACGGGAAGCACTGAGCATCAAATAACTGGATTCAGTGAGCAAGCAAAGTGATACAAGTTAAAAAAGTAATTACTATGCAGAGTTTTAACTAAGAAAAGTATTATTAAATTACTCAACAGCAAAATTTCTAATTAGATTCCCGTTATGGAGCTGGTTGAAATGAATCATCTGCTATAATAATATATCGGTGAAAACAGAAACTCTGTCATTTGCAGAAAAAGAAGAATGTTGTCCAAGTTGAAAACTTCTTACAATCCACCATCATCAATCGCGCGGTAACCTGCGATACCGTTAAAATACTAGTCTTTAATTTTACTATGACTTATAAAAACTATGCGCCCAAAAAATTTTTCTCTTTTAAAAAACCCAAAACACAAATTTTTACAATGAATCGTTTTAAGTTTTTTCACTTTAATCCCCTGTTTTATAAGCTAATGTGTGTCTAGCACTTTTTTGAGTCTGAGAAAGGCGTGTTTTCAATTGGTATAAAAAGCTCTAAAAAGCTGTTGTAATTGAAGAGAACTATAAGTTCCTAAAGATAGCCACTTTTGACAAAAACTCCAACTTCCTTACACTTTAAAATAGTCTAACTTAGCTGCTAATACATTTCTTGAGATATTTTTTCCACTTTCGCAATTATAAAATAATTTTAAAAAAAAGTCTAACTTTAGATTTTAAAGTTTTTTCAAAATTTAAAAAAACCTTAGAGGCAAAATAGAACAAGTGTGAAATTTAGTGTTTGATGCTTTTTCATATATTATTCGATGGAAAAGGAGCAGAAAATCCGATGAAAAGTGAAAATGACAGCAATTTTTACGCACCAAAAAGCGGACATAACTAACACATAACTGCATTGATACATGAGTTTACAAATAGAAACGCAAACACAAAACAGATGGATAATAAATTAAAGGACAGATAATTATATTGCTAATTTGTCTACAAAATAGCTGTTTTTTTTCAGTTTCTCAAAAAATTAGAAACAATAGTAGAAAAAAAACATGAATCTGATTAAAATAAGTTCATACATCTTTTCAACAAGGAACTGTTGCTGATGCGTAGTTTCACCAACAACGTTTAACGCTAATTTCATCACATACGACGTATAAATACGCATGATCAAA